GTGGGGATTTCATTTTTTTATTGCTCGAGGCCGGCAAGTGCGCGCGGTCCTCGGCTTCCCTCTTTTATTTTTTCTTTTTCCTTTTCTTTTTTTTTATTTCCGTTTCTATTCCCTATTTCGGGGAGTATCCTTCTTTCAGGCTTCGGCCGAAGGGTGTGCTCGTCTTTCGGCCGGTTCGGACTTCGTTTATAACGTCCGTGATCTCAGGGGGGTCCCGTCGCCTATTTATGACGCGGGCTAGACTTTTGGTTGGTTTCCAACGGCTGCCGTTGCCCAACCCTGAGTGGGGGGATTTTGCCACCTCGGCCATGATTTCAGGCCTGTCGTCCTGCGATCTGGCGCGTGGACAACGCGGTGAACTTCCCATTTCAAGACGCGGGCCATTTGCGGGCCCCTCGTCCTGGGGACATCGTCGGCCATACCTGAGCGTTTCACTCTAGGCTTACGGGGCCAGGACGATGTGCTCTCTCAGCTAGGCCTGAGCCCTTCGCTGATACAAAATACAAAGCGGAGCAGACCTGAGCCTTTCGCTCGAAGGCTGCTGATACGACACGTGGTATCTTCTATTTACATTTCCAAAAAATAAGCGGAATACAATAGGTGCGTTGTTCATGGCAACGGCTTTTGGGCGACGCGATTAGCGTCTCCGAGAACGAGGTGTACCGTTTACCGCTCTCGGGCATAGTGCCATGTGCGGCCGGTAGCGGCTCTAATTTTCAGATGTCCGAGTCACCAAATAAGGGTGACTAGGGTAGATCGATGGACCTAAATATAATTCAAATCATCAAATAAAGATGTTCAGTAGACTAGAGCTCGGGTTCACCGCTCTGGGGTTTTTAACCCGCTCTAATGGTGATGATAAAAATAATAATGCCAATAATAATGTATCATTAGCGACCTCGGGAAATTTTAATCCCTCATAATGGTCTTCACCACCTCGGGGGTTTTTTAACCCGCCATAATGGTGGTGGAAAAAATATAATTAATAATAATAATTATTATACTACTATCATTTAATAAATATTTTAAGTGTATAAATAAGAGTATTGGGCACTTAGCTTTTGATGGGCCGAAATAACTTCTGGGCTGATTTTGATTGATTGTTGTTGAAATTTTGGCCCATTAGCTTTTGAGAATCAATCTTGGGCTTGAAATGGTCTTAACCCACACATTCATAGGGCAAAAGACTACTCTCTCTTGTTGCTTGCGGGTGTCAGCCAAAGAAAAAGAGGGGAAGTGCCGCAGCCGTCCTTGCTTCGACAGGAGAAGGGAAGACCCGACGGATCTCGACAGTCATGCCCGATGGATCTCCATGGTCCCGCTGGTCTACATCCCAACCTTCGAGTTGTGACGGTGCTGGAAAGTGACGGAGTAACCAGGAGCTTGTGGACGTTTGGTGTGACGTTGGGGTCTGCATCGCCACCGACCGAAAGAGATATGGGTAACGGAGGCGCGACCGGAGCAGCTACGTCCAGTCTCGAACGGAACACAAGCATGGACAGAGCAGGAGTAGCGAGGTCTGGAACGACGGCGGCGAATTCCAGCCCACCCGCTGGCGGCTACCGTCCTCAGGGTGCATCGGGAGGGGCTATCCCGAGGAACGAAGAAGGTCAGATGGTCTTAACAGGATCTTTTCCGATTCAGGCCTCATCTCCCTGGATGCAGAACTTCGATCGTTGATTCATGCTACAAAATGGGCGATGACTGAGGGCTTCCATGACTTTCAGGTGGAGGTAGATTCCACGGAGGTGTTGAAGTATATCAGAACTAAACTGCGACCGACGTTATTCCACGGAGATGTTGTAGTTCCAGATTTTTTTGCTGAATTTCCAGAACAGATTTTGATTGGTTTCTTGTAAATGGGATGAATTTTTGGTTTTTTTGGGAGGATTTCTCACTTGATTATGCTCAAACTCTCAACGAGAGCACCATTGATGGATTATAGGTATCCAAGTATGTATAAAATGTAGAGATTTGAGCTCAAGTATTGTGGAGAAGATGAATAATAGAATGATAATGAATTGAGATCTAGGGTTTACAAGCTCCAAAAAGAGTATAAATAGAGGAATAACGGGTCGGGCCGCTAATATGGGCCCGGTAGCCCAACTACATAAAAGACTAATCTAGTATACAAATGACATATAAGCAGTACAATAATACAAATGATATCCGTAAGATGTGTGTGGGCCGCTGTCCAAGCCCAATAGTCGTGAGACCGGGGGTCCGAGTCTATATACTCTATCATGATCTATTTGTGTCATTTTTTGAATTCAGTGGATCGGAGAAACTTGTTCTGCATAACCCAAACTAATTTAGATCTATATGCGTTTGTGTTAAAAGTTTGATTTGAAAATATTAGCGATAGCAGACAATAATACTCAGTTTACTCTCATTGCGTTATTTTGTGACATTTCAGGGTATTGGACCGTTTAGTGGACATTAGAGGTGGATATGTGATTTGTTTAGTTATGTTTGTAACTCTTATCAAATTGTGTATATTTTTGTGTTTTGTTGTTTGTTTTACTTGAGGACAAGCAAAAGCCTAAGTGTGGGGGATTTGATGTGCCTATATTTTACACATTTTTTAGGCTTAGTTTGTTGATAATTTTATTTATTAAAGTTGTACTTATGTACATATTTTTATTGTTTGTCGTTAATTTGTATTAGTGCGGTGTTTTGCGTGTATTTTCTATTTTCAGGTACTTTTGATGTTATTTGGATACATTCAAAGTGAAGAAACGAAAAAAATAAAAGTTCAAGTTGGAAGATAACAAAAGTGAAATTTCCTTCAAAGCAAATAAAAAATAAATTGGAGAAAAGTTGTAAAAATGGTGAAAGTGAAGAGAGGATTCGAACATGAATCAATTGGACAAGGAAAGTCATACTCAACCAGCGTGCTAAATGAACAAGTTCTACGAATCACTCCCGTAACCGCTGCACTGCTATGCATTGTTGACAAATTCAGGCGCTTAGTTTTACATAAACTAATCAGTTCCGGAATTCACAGCACTTAATGATTAATTATCATATCATTATATGATCTTAATTCTTCTTCCTCCACACATAAGCTCGAACCAACTTCTCTCTAAACATCCTGAAAACATTTCCTCTCCCTTCTCTCTTCATTTCTTAACCCCAAATCATCAACACATCTTCAACCACAACTAATCACTTTCTCATCCAAGATTAAATCAAGATCAGCATCAAAGCTCCAAGGATTGTCATCTATCACAAGTTTGATCTTCCTTATCTCATTAAATCTTGTACTTTAATCATGGATTCATCTATTTCTATGCTTCCCAACATGTATAGCTAAATACATGTTTAATAATTTTATTTATTAAAGTTGTACTTATGTACATATTTTTATTGTTTGTCGTTAATTTGTATTAGTGCGGTGTTATGCGTGTATTTTCTATTTTCAGGTACTTTTGATGTTATTTGGATACATTCAAAGTGAAGAAACGAAAAAAATAAAAGTTCAAGTTGGAAGATAACAAAAGTGAAATTTCCTTCAAAGCAAATAAAAAATAAATTGGAGAAAAGTTGTAAAAATGGTGAAAGTGAAGAGAGGATTCGAACATGAATCAATTGGACAAGGAAAGTCATACTCAACCAGCGTGCTAAATGAACAAGTTCTACGAATCACTCCCGTAACCGCTGCACTGCTATGCATTGTTGACAAATTCAGGCGCTTAGTTTTACATAAACTAATCAGTTCCGGAATTCACAGCACTTAATGATTAATTATCATATCATTATATGATCTTAATTCTTCTTCCTTCACACATAAGCTCGAACCAACTTCTCTCTAAACATCCTGAAAACATTTCCTCTCCCTTCTCTCTTCATTTCTTAACCCCAAATCATCAACACATCTTCAACCACAACTAATCACTTTCTCATCCAAGATTAAATCAAGATCAGCATCAAAGGTCCAAGGATTGTCATCTATCACAAGTTTGATCTTCCTTATCTCATTAAATCTTGTACTTTAATCATGGATTCATCTATTTCTATGCTTCCCAACATGTATAGCTAAATAAATTTGGGGCTAGAAATTGGTTAATTAATTGTTCTTATCATGTTTTAATTTGTATTGATTTTAATTGTTAAGTTTGTTCTGTTTAGATTGTTGTGTCCAGAAAAATTAATTACGTTGTGTTTGTGATATATATTATGAGTACTCAATCATAAACATATTGTTTGTTAAATACAAAAATGAACACTTTCTGAACACACCGTTAAACTTCTTTTACCTTGTCCTGGATTGAAGTTTTACGAGAGAATTTTATTATTTAATTATATTATTTACACCACGGGGTTGGGTAAATAATATAGTTAATAATTAAGGTTGTCGTTGCACTTAAACAACTAATCTCGTTTTGGCCATCACTGAGAAATGTTGACTAGTTACTTATTTTAGGTGACTTGTGTTGGGTCCTAAAATATTTATCTACAACTCCTCACAATCTATCTAAGAATAAAATTAGCAATTATGTCTTTCAAATGAGCATTGAACAATTAGTTACCAATTTCTACCCCTATTTGCTATTGGTTGAACTTTGTGTTGAGAAAAATCTCTTCTCTCAATCACTTTTATTTAATTACTTTTCCAAGCAAACAAAAATAAAAAGAAATGGATTCCCAACTTTAATCCTTAGTTTGTGCTTAATTATTTTATTTCCCGTTTCTTTGTGGTTCAACACCCTACTTGTTTGAGTAAAAGAAATAGTTGTGTGCCCATTATATGCTAATGCTACACACCATTTAGTTAATCCATGATTCCCTTTTTCCGTCCCTACACTACTACATTTTTATTAGTGCGAGAAAACACTCGTCAACTGTTTATCATCACACAAAATATGTAATTTTATAGTGAAAAGAATATAGATAAATAATGACTTTTTACATTGTAACACATATATTAACATTTTTGATCTTGATTGACTAAAATCATATTAATCGATGTGATTAATTAATTTTGATAAATTTATAGACACGTATTTTATGAATGCAATAGAGGATATGAATTCAACTGAAAGTGTCTTACTTTATACTCCGTATTACAATCACGTGTATATGTATTTTGTAATTATTATACATACATATTGGAATGTATTGATCTTATTTGATCACTTGCATTGATCTGCTGGAATTTTGTTGTCCCGCCTTTCGAATTGCAAGGCAGGATTTGAAGCGGCAAGCGTCAACGATGGAGTGAGGCAGCAGAGAGATGAGAGCCCACTGAAGAGAATGAGGCCAATAAGGAGTGCACCGACATTCATATCCTATCCACCGTAACGCTGCCCCAGCATAGCCTTCCGCGGATGGAATGAAAAATGAAGACTCTGTGACTGATGTCATTTTTGTGGCCACATATAACGGCACCTGCACATCATATCATCCAAAGCTACTAACTTCTTTCTCAAGCAAGAAACAATGTTCCAATAATTATCTATTTACTTTTTAAAATCGCAAGCAAATCCTCTAAATCAATCATTAAAGATAATTAATGAACATGTGCGGACCTGACATTGTATATCAATCCCGCTTTTCTTGTATTCCATGTGTAGACATCTTGAAAATTGATCAACATATCTGAAATCGTAGCATTAAATGTGTGTAACGTCCAATTACTTTAGCTCAAATGAAACGTAGCTCAGTTGGTCGAGTGGTGGGAAAATTGGACCAAGTGACCAAGATTTCAAACCTGCAGCGGTCGTGTAGAGGTTACAGAATCTGAAATAAGGCTGGACCTCTGATGCGCACGTGTATAAGGTCTACCACCGCTTTGCTGACTGAGTCACCGTGATTAACCTCCCCACCATCCTGTCGAGTCAGGGTGGGAGGCTCCTGGGGTGGGAGATTCCACCTTTTGGACCAAGATGAAGTGATGAAGGGAACAAAATTGACAACTTAGACTCCAGTGGGTAAAATTAGAAATGCCAAAAGAAGTAAAATGATGTTTGAAATTACTTCTTAAAATTGTTTCTACTCACTCAAAAAGCAAAATTAGATATCGGAATATGTGGGCAAAAATGTAAAAAACACTTTTATGTACTCCAATTATTCCTAGAAGCAGGTTTAAAATGGTGGGGAGCCCGAACAATAGATTCTGCATCTATTTCTACTTTTTTTAAAAAAAGTAGAAGCAAAATCAATTCTGAACACCCCTAAAAATGTCTTGCAAAGGGTTTAATGTACCAAACCCCCCTGTGATTTAAAAAATGCGTCAAACTCCCATGTGTTTTAATTAATCATACGCAAAATCTCTTCTATGAACAAATTTAATTGTCAAATAAAAGAAAAATGATTAACATTATTGTATGATTTAGAGATTTTTGACATATTTATTTGCATATTCAATCAGAATATTAGGAAAAGTTATTTCCAAAACGTTAAATTTATTCATAAAAGGGATTATGTGCATGATTAATTAAAACACAAGGGGGTTTGACGCATTTTTTAAATCACAAGGGGCTAGTGCACTAATTTCTATATCACGAGGGGATTTGAGGCATTAAATCCGCCTTGCAAATGCAAAACTATTCAATTAACCTCATTACTATATGGAATGTACATGTTGTTAATGTGATATATCGTCATGTGTCCAGTTTATCTGCCGTATTATATCCTTGTCTTAATAAAATTCACCATGTATATATACTCGTAAACAGAGAAGGTGTTACAAGACGTTAAACAATACTTTGACAGTTGTAAAACCACATAAAACAGACATCTAATTCGATCAGAGCATTAGTAGCCGGATTAGGCCATATCATGACCAGAAAATTATAGTCCAATAAAAAAGATATTACTTTTGTCCCGCTTAAAGGTCCAGATTACAAAATTACACCATTATTTAGACAGTAATTAAATAAGCTAATTTGAACATATTTTGAGAAGCGGGTTTGATTGATATATAATATAATATGGTCATTAATGATAACTGTGATGTTATAGATGTATTATTTTTAACATTTAGTGATTAAATTATCATTTAAGAGTATTAATTTTTTTCTAAAATAGAAATGAGAACCTTTATATGAGATGGAGGGTGTACCAAGTAGGGTCTCAGCACAATGTTTTTTATATTCCTTATATACGAGTGTTGTGTGTTTGGACAAATATACATTTGCCCCTTCCCCTAGCGACCTTCCCCAACCCTACCGCCCACTGTATGCTGCTGCCCTTCGCTAAATCGCCGCCAGACATATCTAACACCGGTCACTAGAATCCACCGAAAATTACCAAAATGCATCTGCACCATTCTGGCCACCGCCGCTGGTCGCCGCAGCCATAGAACTACCCCGCCACAAACCCCGTCCATGTAAGGGAACTAAGGGGGCAATTAATTAGATTAGACGATACAAGGCTTCCTCATGAAACATACATACTCACTTTTCTTTGGATCCACAAACCCTTCAAGTTGAATTATATAGATATTTTTATCTTGATCACCATTCAAGAAAGCAGTAATCACATTCATTTGTTTCATTTCTCAATGAAAGTGAGCAACAAGCGTAAACATAATTCTAATAGTAGTAAACTTAAAAGAGGAGCAAATATCTCAACATAATTTACCCCTCCTTTTGAGTAAACCCTTTAGCTACCAACCTAGCCTTAGACCTAGCATCATTAGATTTTTCCTTACCTTAAATAACCACTTACATAAGAACTGGGGGGTTTAGGGATTCAAATCTAGTTCACTCTCAAGATTTTATCTCACTTTTCATGGCAATAATCCATTTGGAGACTCTTTGGAACCTAAGGCTTCACTATAGGTTTTGGGTTCATTCAACTCTAGGGATTCAAATGCAGAAAATGCAAACATAGAAGTATCATGTACATTGAAAGCATAAGCCGACATACTATCAGCGATTCTTCTAATACTCCATCCACTTCGATCTCTTATAGGTTGGTACTATGTAAACCATTATTACTAGGCTCCGCATATAACTCATGTAGTTCACTGTTATCATGAAAATAAGATTCCACAATCACATCATGCAGTGATAACAAATCTGTCGTCAAGTATGGTACATATGAAATTTCTTTGTATATTATTGTTAATGGGCTTAGGAGCAAAGACCTTGATTTGAAACACTATAGGGGTCATAGTAATTCATCCAAAGATGTTTGTGAAACCATATTTGTGAGAGGTGGATCTAATAATAGGTCTAAATATCACACAGAGGGTAAAAATAAAAATAGTAACAATCAGGGTAAGAAGAGACACAAATCTAGGAAAAGAGTTTGTTACACAATTGTGGTAACTATGGTCATTTCATTAAAGACTATTTGAACTCTTAGAAGACCAGTCATGCTAATGTGGTAGTTAATAAGAACTTCCATGATGATGTGTTTATGGTTTGTGACCATGCCAACTCTGTGTTAATTAGGATGACTGAAAATGAGTAATTGATTGATTCTAGATGTACTTATCATATGACACCTTTTAGACCTTTTTTTCTTCTTATGATTAATGTGATGTTAGATATGAATCTATTACTAATAATAAGGAATGGAAAGTTCTTTGGGTGGGTGATATATGTTTGAAGATTGATAGTGAGACTGATTATACTATGCAGAATGTGAAGCATGTTCCTCATCTTTGTCATAACCTGTTTTATGTGGCTGGTTTTGAGTGTAGTGCTTTGGAGGGTAGATGGGGAAATGGTTGAATAAAAGTTTTAAAATATTCTTATGTGGAATATTTCAAAACTCTTCTTTTAAATTAGGGTCCCTATGTGGAAAACGTTTTGAGTAAGTTTAAAATGCAATCTGATGCTCCTATTAATGTCCCTTTAGCCACCCATTTTGTTTTAAGTAAGAACCAGTCTCCCAAGACTGCTTTTGAAATTGAGAAAATGAGAAATGTGCCTTATTTCAGTACAATTGGGTTGGTTATGTATCTTATAGTTAGCACCAGGCCTGATATTTCACATGCGGTTAGTTGCGTGAGTATATATATGTACAACCTTGATTTGTCGTACTGGAATGCTCTAGTCTTAAGTGGTTACATATATATTTGATATCTAATTGTGAAGTGGTATTCAGATGATTGAATATGTTGATTTGAATTATGCTAATGATAGAGATGATATGAAATCTACTTCTTCCTGTGTGTTTACTTTGTCTGGTTCTTGCATTAATTGGACATCTCAACCATAGATGTGTTGACTTCATATTGGATATGTTTACTTTCATTGTTGCGTTATCTACCACTAAATATGAATATATTGTACCCACATAAATGTTTATGTAATCAATTTGGCTCAAACGCATTGTCTTCAAATTTGGTTTTCTCAAATTGGGTGTTCCTCTTTACCCCACTTTCATTTTTCATTAATTTAGGGTATCGCGGCTGATGCCAAATCTTAAATGTGGGGGTGCATTAAGCGTTAGGCGGTGTTGATTGTGTGATTTCGATAGTGTTAGCATGGGTATGATTCAAGTTTATATTTGTGGAAATGGCGTGCTAATTTGTGTGTCTACTCTTCTTTAAATTTAACACCATTTTTGTGAGTTGACTAAGATTGTTTGCATGAATGACTAGGATATCTTTGAAGTTTTAAGTTTGATTTTCATACATTGTTACTCTTGTTGTTGAAATTAAGAAGGTATTACAACCTATTATGCGATTTCAATTTCCTTGTCATGAATAAGTCATTTAAGATAAATCATTTTGAGCCTAACCTTTTGTTTTACCCCCCATGGTTTGATCTCTCCTCCCTAAATGGTCTTTGTCTTCACTCGTGGATAATTTTGACAATATTTTAGTGAATAAGGTGTTATGGGTGATTTTACTATATTTATGGAATCTTTAAGAGCCGTTTTTGGCACTTTTCCTATGTCCTAAATGGGTAAATGCATTTATTTTCTAGTAATTTAATGTCTTGAAGATCGCATTGTAGGATTGAATTAATTTGAACTAATTCTTACTTTCTTTGGTGAGACCAAGATTAGAATGAGATAATGCCTAGCAATTACTCAAAAAATTAGCTACACCTCTTACTTTTCGAAAAAGACAGGGTGAACCAGCCAAAGAGCGTACATTTTTACACAATAAGATGAGACTTAGAAATCTTTTTTTTTTGGATAAAGGGTAATTATATATATCATCCAAAAGAGTTTATGTACAAAGTAAGGTCAAAAATGGGGGACAAAAATGGGGCTATCCCAACAAAGGATATACCATACTCCTATGGGCTATACAATCAGTCCCAAATCACGCAAAACAGGCCGTTTAGCCACACCATATCAAAAGAGACTTAGAAATCTTTCAAAAGAAATGACGTTATTGTGCCAACATGACAGGAAAAATAAAACATAAGCTCGATTTGAAGTTTTTTTCAATTTTGCACTACCTCTTCGTGTACTTAAACTATCTGTCAAAGCACCAATGTACAACGACGGTTTAACTTCGTTGTACACCATGTCTTCTTTCTGCATAGAGATAGATGACAGTTCTTACTAAGTGTCTTGCAGAATTCTCGCACCGTAGAAATAGCCCAAACATTGAGCCGATGTCAAGTTGTTCCAATTTTTCAAAGAAAAGAAGCTTGTTCACCAATCACTGTCACCTTTATAGGTCATTATGATCAGAATAAATGTAGTAATTTCCTTGTTATGTAGTAATTTCCTTGTCAATCACCGTAGTCGGAGAACAAAGAAGTTGTTTAGAGAAGAGTTCATTTGAGCTAGTGTTGAGTATGTTGTTTTGTTGATGACTAACCATGCAGGTGGAACGGCGGACAGAACTGCTCTCAGTTCTATCAGGAACGGAAATTAGAACTATACTTAGTTCTGTTCTATGTGACTGATTGTCGTGCATAATGAATAAATTAATTGATATGTGCCTGCATGATA